GGGGCTTGGCTTTGCCTTCCAGTAGCTTAGAAATTCAGGATGTTTTCTTCACATCCTTGGGTCTTCCATAATAAGATTTAGGTCTATTAAAAATGTAAATAGGGGGCTAGAGAGATGGTTCAGCAGTTAAGAGCATTGACTGCTCTTCCAAAAAACATGCCCACATGGCAGCTCAGAATGGTCTGTAACTCCAGTTCCGGAGGATTTAGCACCCTCATACATACATGCAGGCAAATATAAATGAACAGAAAATAAATAAATCTTTAAAGAAATGAGTAAACAAAGCTGGGGCACTGCCAATACTTAGGAAACTGAGGCAGGAGAATTGCAACTCTAGAGAGAACTTCTCTCAACAAACAAGGAAACTCACAAACAAAGCTTATTTCTTTTGATCTTCTAGTGAGTATAAACAAGTTGTATTTAGTATAGAATTTGTCAGATGGATATCCAAGAAATACTAGTTTTGGCTGTATATAGTAATGCTTGCCTTTAATCCTAGCACTTGGAGGTAGCCTCAGGGTAGAGGCAAGTAGATCTCTGTGAGTTTGGGGCCAGCCTGATCTACCTAGTGAGTTCTGGGCCAGCCAGAGTTACACAGGGAGAATGTCTCAAAACAAAAATAAACACAAAAGAAATATTAGTTTTATTATTTAGTTTTCTATTGCCTTGATAAAAACATCCTTACCACAGAAACTTCTAGAAGAATGAGTTTATTTGGGCTTACAATTCTAGAGGGATGAGTCTATGGTGAATAGGGAAGCATGCTAGCAAGTGAGAGGCATGCCAGCAGGAGCCAAGAAGCAGAAAGGCCACCACATCTTTTACAGCAAGCGTGGAGCAGAGAGAGAAAACTGGAAGTAGGGAGAGGCTATACCATATACTCTCACAGCTCACCCCAAGCAGCATATTTCCTCTAGCAGGGCCCCACCTTCTCAACCTCCCCAACAGCACCACCAACTGGGGACGAAGGGTTCAAACACCTGAGCCTATGGGGGCATTTCTCATTCAAACCACCACACTAGCTGCCTTCCTTTTCCTGTCCTTAAGCTTCAGCAAGAACCCCAATCAATGTAAAGAGAGACAAATACCTCCTTCAGTTTCAGCTTCTCTTGTACGGACCTTTCCTTTCCTCTCAAGGGGTCCTCCCTTGTGTTCTTGGCTGGAGATGCCCACTGAACTGCATTTTCTCGTTATCTGTGGCCTAAGGATCTGGTGCCTGAGGCTCGGGGTCTACTTGCATGCATCTTCATCTATCCAACCCTGGATACTAACAAATATTAAAGATCTGTGGAAGACATGTAGCTAAATCGCTGGTGAAGCAATTGATCTAAAATAGTTTATATTTGGAGTATTCAGTCTAGTGATACTGGCTTTTATTCAGTCTGAAGTGAATAGAATGTTCTATATTTAGCTGGTTTTTTTTGTTTATGTTTGTTTTGTGTTTTGTTTTATTTTGAGACAGGACTTTCTGTGTAGCCCTGGCTGTCCTGGAACTCACTATGCTCACTATGTAGACTAGGCTGGCCTTGAACTCAGAGATGTGCCTGTCTCTGTCTCTGCTTCCTGGGAAAAAGGCATGTACCACCACTTTGTGTTTATGTTGTCTATCTTTTTTACTCATATATAGTTTTTATACACACACATACACACACACACACACACACACACACACACACACACACACACACACACATATGAAGGCATTTAATGGGGTGACAGTTTACAGTTCAGAGGTTTAGTCCATTATCATGATGGTCGATTATGGCACATGCAGGCACACATGGTGCTGGAGAGGTAGCTGAGAGTTTTACATCTTGTGTAGGCCAACAGGAAATGGTCTGTCTCGCTGGCATGACTTGAGCATATATGAGACCTCAAAGTCCACCTCCACAGTGATACACTTCCTCCAACAAGACCACACCGACTCCAACAAGGCCACATTTCCTAATAGTGCCACTCCCTATGGGGGACATTTTCTTTCAAACCACCACATTCCACTCCCCACCACCACATTCTACTCCCCGGCCCCCAAAGGCCTGTAGCCATATCATAACACAAAAATGCATTCAGTCCAACTTCAAAAGTTTCCATATTCTATAACAGTCTCAAACTTATTTAAAAGTCTGAAGTTCCAAGTCTCTTTTGAGATTCATGTAGTCTCTTAAATGTAATCCCCTGTAAAATCAAAATAAAAAAAATAACAAATCACATACCTACAACATATAATGGGACAGGATATACATTATCATTTCAAAATGATAGGGAAGGAAGCACAGTGAGGAAATACTGGACCAAAGCAAGCCATCTGGGCAGACTCCAAACTCTGCATCACCATGTCTGACGTCAAAATGTTCTTCAGATCTCCAACTCCTTTCAGCTTTGTGGACTGCAACACACTTCCCTCTCTTCGCCCGGTTTCACTCCCTGTTAGCAGCTCTCCTTGGCTAGTTATCCCACAGTTCTGTCATCTCTAACATCTTGGGGTCTCCAAGGCTATGCTGGCTTCACCTTCATAGCTCCATGCAATGGCCTCTCCAGTCCTCCATTCAGGAACACCCCTGAAACATGCCTGGCCTCAGCCGCTTTCCTTAGTTGCAGAGGAAGGTTCCATAATTTGTTTTTTTTTTTTTTTTTTTTTTTTTTTTTAATCCTTGACTCTAAAGCCAGAACCACGTGGCTGAAGCTGCCATGTTCTGCTGCTTGCTGGTGCTGGAACATGGCCCCGTCATTCAATTACATCTTCATCAGCTTTCTGTTTCCCATAGTTTCCTTCACTGCCTAAGCTTGGCTGTCCTGGAACTTGTTCTGTGGCCCCAGACTCAGAGGTCGCCAGCCTCTGCTTCTGGAGTGCTGGGATTAAAAGCTATGCTGTCTTTCTTATCTTTAGGGTTATTTATTTATTTATTATTTTTTCTACTTAGCTGCTTACCTGACTCCTATAATTTTAAGAGTCACAGGTATGGAAAGTTCAAGTTGACAAAGTTGTGTCCTTACCTGTCTTTCCTATCCCTATCTTCTCTGTAGTGTTTCCAGTTGTGCTAAATAGGAGTACTATATGTCCAGATGTCCAAGTCAGAAGATGTATTCCCCGAACATCTCCTCAGGTCCTGGTCGTTGTCCTACCTGTTGGCATGGCAATACTGATAAAATTCAAAGTCTGTCACACACATTTCTGCTGCCCCCATAAGTTGAGCACTCCCCCACACACACACACACACACACACACACACACACACACACACGAAGCTTACCCTTCTCTCCATTTTCTACCATTCTGACTTCTATATCTTCATTTGAGCCCAGGTCCCTCTAGCTCCAGGACTTTGGTCACATTTCCCTTTTCCCTTTTCTGACCCTCAGTGTGGCTAACTGCTACTGGCTCTATGGTTTAAGGCTCAGCCATTTATGTGTCCTCTTTTATAGCATTCACTGTAACCATGATTAGAAAGTAGTTTGTGTTACTGTTTTGTTCAACTTCTGCTTGACACAGAGGGACAGAGGGACACTGCATGGGCAGGGCTCAGGTGTCTTTGCTCCCTTCTGTGACTCAGTTGCCACCCAAGTCCCAGTAAGGAAAAATAAAGTTTCTCTGCTTTGATAAGATTCCCAGAAAAAAGGTGCACTTGGCATTCCTTGAGTTTCCTTCCAGCTGGGGCTGGAGAGATGGCTCAGTGGTTAAGAGCACTGGCTGAAGTTCTAGAGGTCCTGAGTTCAATTCCCAGCAACCACAAGATGGGTCACAATCATCTATGAGTTTCCTTCCAGCATCTTCCCTTAGTTCAATTCCCAGCAACCACAAGATGGGTCACAATCATCTATGAGTTTCCTTCCAGCATCTTCCCTTAGTTCAATTCCCAGCAACCACAAGATGGGTCACAATCATCTGTAATGAGTTTCCTTCCTGGGTCACAATCATCTGTAATGAGTTTCCTTCCAGCATCTTCCCTTAGTTCAATTCCCAGCAACCACAAGATGGGTCACAATCATCTGTAATGAGTTTCCTTCCTGGGTCACAATCATCTGTAATGAGTTTCCTTCCAGCATCTTCCCTGTTTGTTCCCACATGACATGTCATGTCTGCAACAGTTTGTCCATCACCATCATGGCGGGAAACATGGTGGCAAGCTGAGAGTTCACATCTTGAACTGCAAACAGGAAGCAGCAAGAGCAAATTCAAAATGGCATGAGTCTTTAAACTCTCAAAGCCCACCTCCAGTGACATAGTTCCTCTGATAAGGTCACACCTTCTCACTCCCAACTGGGGATCATTTAATGAGAAGGTCTCAAACCACAGAGGCTGCCACACAGGCTGCCACATGGCTATGCGAGGGAAGAGCACCCTGGCAGAGGTTGTAGGGCCCATTCATGCCAAGGCCTGAAGCATTTGAGGAACAGCATAGTTTGAGCAAAGGTCGTGAGTGAGTCCCAAGCATGGAGAGACAACAAAGTGGAAGGGAGCCCACACATGGGGCTTGTGACCATTGTGAACGTTGTGGCTCTCTCTCTCTCTTTTTCTCTCTTTCTTTCTTTCTCTCTCTCTCTCTCTCTCTCTCTCTCTCTCTCTCTCTCTCATTAAAGCCTCAGAGCAGAACATTGGCAGTTGACTACAATGACAAAGGTGAGAGTGGGTTAGAGAGGAGATGTGGTGGCCTGGGCCCATGTGGACAGAGGGCAGGTCTGGGGTGGGTTCTGAAGGAAGAGCTAGGAAACCGGATGTGGCATCTGTGGGCAGGAGGAAAGACTAGTTGAGCTTGCATCTGTTTTGCATCTGTTTTGTATCTGTATTAGACATCAGGGTACCCTTACAAGGTGGTAGCAGTTCTATGTATCTGGAGTCAGGGGCCAGGACTGTGTGAGGTTATGCGAGTCTCGTGTGTACACGTGATATTTACAGCTATAGGACACCAGTGTCAAGAGCTGAGCAGACAAGAAGTTTTGGAAATACAGGAGAGGTAGCCCCAAGGGAACCAGTACTGACATTCTGTCCCTCTGCCTTGTAGGTGTGACAATGTCCGAGTGTTTAAGCTGGGCCTCTTCTCCGGCCTCTGGTGGACCCTTGCCCTCTTCTGCTGGATCAGCGACCGTGCCTTCTGTGAGCTGCTCTCTTCAGTTCACTTTCCATACCTGCACTGTGTGTGGTAAGTTCCTGTCCTGCTGTGGTGGCACTGACACTGGTGTCCCCACTTGCTGCTGCTGGCCTGGGTGCACCCTGCCAGGTGCACAGGTGGCTTCAGGGGAGGAGCACAGAGCCAAGCATTCTTTTTTTCTCTCTCCTGTCAGACATTTTAGAAACAATGGAAAGTAAGGTACAGTGTGAAAATGGCTCCAGGGAGCAGGTTTAGCTAGGCCCCCTCCTCCCCCCACTGGCCCAAGAGCTAATTGTTGTGCCACACAGCAAGCTGGCAGCCTCTCCTGCAGCTCCTTAATTAGTACTAGGGAACCTGAAAAGTGAGTCTGTAACTTGAGCTCCAAGGGCTGGATGGATGGTGGGGGAGGGGGAGCTGGGGGACCTGTGTGGTGTGAGGACAGGATGGTTCTCAATAGGAACCACGCCTTCGGGGGCCGTGTGGCCAATGAAAGCTTGGACCTCGCAGGTCATCTAGGGACAGTCTCACCTATTCTTCTGACAGCTACAGACAAAGCCTAGGGGACTAAAGCTTATTGCTGAACATCACTCACACTCTTTGATGATAAGGAAATAGAGCATCTATATTTTGGGAAGCCTGAGAATGACTCTGAAGTTCAAAGAAAAGAAAATGGAGGTTACAAAATCACATCAGATCCACACTCAGAAAGAAATGGAGGAGTGGAGAGGTGTAGCTCAGTGGTAGAGTGCCTGTCTGGCATGCACAAGGCCCTTATTTTATCTATCTTATTATTCTTATTTGTGTGTGTGTATGTTTTGAGGGGGGTGGGTTTTGGGTTTTGATTTTTTTTTTTTACCCCAGAGACAGGATTTCTCTGTGTAACAGCCCTGGCCGTCCCGGAACTCGCTTTGTAGACCAGGCTGCCCTTGAACTCACAAAAATCCACCTGCCTCTGCCTCTTGAGTGCTGGGGTCAAAGGTGTGCACCACCACCACCTGGCTGGTTTTGGTTTTTCTAGACAGGTTTTCTCTGTGTAGCCCTGGCTGGCCTGGAACTAATTCTGCAGACTAGGCTGGCTTCAAACTCACAGAGATTCACCTGCTTTTGACTCCTGAGAGCTGGGATTAAAAGTTTATGCCGTCACTGCCTGGCTTTTGTTTTGTTTTCAAACACTATCTCACTATATTGTATCAGTTGACCTGGAACTCTCTGCACACCAGTTTGGCTCAAATCCACAGAGAATTGCCTGCCTTAGCTTCCTCAGTGCTGAGATTAAAGGCATGTGCTACCCATGCTCAGCTATTTATTTCCTGTTTGAGGCAGTCTTGTGTATTCCAGTTTGGTCTCAAATTTACTGTGCAGTCCCAAGTGCTGGAACTGAGACTAGTGCCACCATTTCAGACTTTGTTTTGTTTCTGTTGGCAGTGCTGGAGATCATTGATACCAGGCAAGTACTCTGCCACTCCTACCCTGAACAGTTACACCCCAGTCCTGCGATCACTTTACTGCCATCTCTTAGTGTCCCTCAACCCACACGTTCACATGCAAGAGATTAGTAACTCTTTTAAATCTTTGCTAACCTGATAGGAAAAAAAAAAAAATGGAGCTGGGTGGTGGTAGTGGATGCCTTTGATCCCAGCACTCATGAGGCAGAGGCAGGCGGATCTCTATGTGTTTGAGGCCAGCCTGGTCTACAGAGTGAGTCCCAGGATAGCCAGGACTGTTTCACAGAGAAACTCTGTCTTGAAAAACTAAAAAAAGAAAAAAAAATTATTTTCATATCTTTAAAAATCTAGTGTTACTAGATTCTCTTAAATTATAATCTGAATGGGTAGCTTTAGATTGTAATCTAATTGCAATCTTCCCAATTTGCCGTGTTTTCCCCCTTTGAAGTATGCCTTGTAATGTTTTCGTCTTCGGCCATTACTGCCTATAATGGCTATGTGCTGTTTGTTAAGCAGATTTTAATTAATTACTCGTTAGTTAATAACTGGTTTTGAAACAGGGTCTCACTGTGTAGCCCTGGCTAGCCTGGAACTAGCTTGTAGACCAGGTTGGCTTTAGACTCACAGAGATCTGCTTGCCTCTGCCTCCCGAGTGCTGGGAATAAGGCGTGCAGCACTGTACCCAGCATGAAGAGGGTTTTAAAGGATAAAGGACAATGCATGGAGCTGCCACGTACGCTAACTCCAGCTTCTGCGTATCACTGGGGGCTGTGTCTTGTTTCTACTTCCATCCCCACTCTTCATCCAAATCCATTTTAAAGCACAGCTCACACAACATTTGTAATCTATAACATTTTTGGTATTAGTTTTAGCTCTTTATCACATTGGGCAAATATTTTCCCCCAGTTTCCTATTTTTTTTTTAAAGCACATGAATAGCTTTGTGCTGTATTCATTTGGAATTATATTGTCACACATGTCTGATTTTTCTTCATAGGTTTTGGACTTTGTGTCATTCTAAGGAAAGCCTCTTCCATCAAAGTTATGAAAATATAGGTCTTTTGGAATGTATATTAAAATCATAGGGGCTGGAGAGAAGGCTTAGCAGTTATGAGCACTTGCTGCTCTTACAGAGGACTCTAGTTCAGTTCCAGCACCCAGATTGAACAATTCACAACCACCTGTAACTCCAGTTCCAGGGGACCCCATACCCCTTCTTCGCCTCTTCTGGTGCCTGTGCAGGTGTGTCTATACACTGACACAGGACACACAAATACATACAAATTAAAACACTCCATTTTAATGTTATATTTTAAATCTTTTCTTAAGAAATTGAAAATTTTTAATTTATTTGTTAATTTGTGCTTGTATGTATATGTGTGTAGACATGTGTGTGCCATAGGACTTGTGTAGAGGTCAGAGGACAACTTTTGGGAGCCGGTCAGCTCTTTTCTTATGCCATGTGGGTTCTGGAGATTGAACTCAGGCCATCAGACTTGGTGGCAATCATTTCACCTACTGGGATGTCTCACGGGTCCATATTTGAAATAGTTAACTCCTTTGGAATTGGGCTTCAGTATAGGGTATAAGGAAAAAATCTGTCTGCCTTTAAAAGATTTATTTCTTGATAAAGATTAAATATCAAAATTGAAGCTTTTGACAGGTAGATAAATTTTTGTTTTTGTTTTTTTGTTTTTCGAGACAGCGTTTCTCTGTGGCTTTGGAGGTTGTCCTGGAACTAGCTCTTGTAGACTAGGCTGGTCTCGAACTCATAGAAATTGGCCTGCCTCTGCCTCCCGAGTGCTGGGACTAAAGATGTGCACCACCACTGCCCAGCCATAAAGATAATTTTTTAAAAAAGGATTTTCCCATAAAGCTGCAAGCACACTTTAATGTAGGATGATTTCCGATGAAAAGCACAGGTTGTACTTATTGCTGAGGTGAGAAGGTGGGATCTTATTCTGGGTTCAGGCACTTCTGATTTTACCCTTAGCCCACAGTCTCACTGGGAAGCCCTAAACGTATTTGGTCCAATTATCAAATAGAACTCACAGAGATCCACCTGCCTCTGCCTCTGCCTCCGCCTCCCGAGTGCTGGGATTAAAGGCACATGCCAACACTGTGTAGCTTTGAACTTGTGACAGTCCTCTTGAGGTGGTTTCCTAGAGCACTGGGGTTATAGGTTGGAGCTACTGTGCCGATTCAAATGAAAATGTCTCTAATTCTAGGATGGTCTCAAATGTTCAGGATTTATCATAGCCCTTCTGGCATTGTGTCAGGCTCACCGCTCCCGTCTTTTGCAGGCACATCCTCATCTGTCTTGCTGCATACCTGGGCTGTGTGTGCTTTGCCTACTTTGATGCTGCCTCAGAGATACCTGAGCAAGGTCCAGTCATCAAATTCTGGCCCAGTGAGAAATGGGCTTTTATCGGTGTCCCCTATGTGTCCCTCCTGTGTGCCCACAAGAAGTCTCCAGTCAAGATCACCTGACAGCAAGGCAGTGGCTTCTCTACTTATTTCTCTTCATGCACTGGGCTTCATTTACTAGCAAAGATGGCCACGGAGGTTGAAGAATCGGTGTGGGTGTGTCTGTTTAAAATTCTGTTCCTTTGGGTTCTAACTGGACCACTGTGCCTGGGAGGAGGTACATCTTTTCCCCAGGATGGGGGATGGAGGGCTCAGGGACAGTAGGTGTGTCACTCAGTATCCCTTCCAGGCACATGGGATTGCTGGGTTATGTCCATTATGGCAGTGGCAGAGTAATTCTTTGGGAGACCCAGGGCAGCATCTTGCTGCAGAAGGTGGCTTGCTGTAGATCCCACCATCCCCACACTCTCTGATTACACAGGAGTCAGCCTTGGGATACACAAGACCTGATTTTGTGATGCAAAGTACTGGAGCTTTTCATTTGCAGGGGGAAAATTGTCCTTCAACAAAACCAAGTGGATAAAACCCACATGGGAGCTGTGGCTAAGGGGGCTGGCTTGTCACTTGCACCTCTCAGCTTTCCCAGGTTTTCCAAGAGCTTGTGGATCCTTTCAACCACTACCTCTACTGAGAGATAGAGATTTGGCATCAGAGGGTAAAACAAGTAATACCCTCTATGCCAAAACCTGCCCTCGGCTTTAAGCACTATATTAAATAGTGTCATTGTGTCTGCTCTCCCTGAAGCTCCATAGCCTCAAACCCACAGACAACCACTCTGGTATGAAGACTCCACACACAGCCCCTCTGCTTGTACTTGGCCTCTGTGAGAGCACCAACAGCTCATTTGAGTCACTGAGGCAGCTCTGGTTTTGTCTGTAGAGTGTGTGCGAAGCTTTGGGAAAGCCTTTCTTATTGGAAGCTTCCGGGATGTCGTTACCTCCAAGACTCTGATGCCATCCCTCTGCTGTTTCCAGGGGTGTGGGCCTCCTGCTTTTTCTCTCACAATACCTGGTGCTAACTGGTTTCTGAGAGCACTTGACTCTTTGCTCTTCTGTCAGTCACTACACTTTGATTTGCTGATTGGGGGTCACAGGTGGGTAGGGGCCTCCAGGGTATGAGGTGGGGTATCTCAGGGATGTTTGTAACTCATGCACCTTTGCTTTCTGACATTCCATTGTGGGGAGTGGGGTAGTACTCAGGGGGTGGAGTCATGCCATTGTTCTGAGTGGTGGAGCATGTCCTGAATCAGGAGGAGCTAGTCAGGTTCTGACACTTCAGGAACTCTTACCTTGGCTAGAATTTGCACAGGGTCCACAATAGAAACTGAACTTAAATTTTTTACATGAATGGACTTCATTCTACTTTTGTGACCTTGAAGTTTTATAAGTAACTTGCTAGGCTATTTCTTGTCTATAGTAACGAATCTTTATGGGACACAGCTTCGTGAAGTAAGTTGTCTTTTATTAAATTTATAGCGTTTACTAAATCTCCCAGGCAGCAAACACACACGTTAGTTGATTGGAATTTCCAAGGCAGAAATACTTGGCTTTGAGTGAGTGTATATGTTATATTATTATAGCTTAAAACATATTTAAAATGACTTTGAGTTGAATGTTTGTGGCAACCTAGGGGCTCATGGACTAGCATTGCTGCTGAGCCCTTTGGGTTTTGAGTCTACAATTTTTCAGAGGGCAAAATCAAACCATCCTTGTTTCTGGTTTGTATTCCCAGGCTTGTAGCCTGATCTTATCTATTTTACACTATATAAATGTCCTGAAGACAACACCCAGCTGCCTGGGTCTGGAAGGGTCGGCTGGGGCTGGAGAGTTGGGTCAGCAGTTAAGAGTATATGTTACTTTCCCAGAGGACTTGGTTCCTACCATACACATGAAACTCACAACCTCTAACTCCAGTGCCAGGGGATCCAGTGCCCCCTTCTGATGTGCACGTTGTGCACATACAGGCAGGCAAAATGGTCATACACATAGAGTAAATAAAATAGATAATTAAAAAATTGGCTGTAGGAGAGGATTTTTAGATGCAAGTTTTAATTCATCCCAAGGGTTCTTCTGTGGCAGTGGTGTTGTCCTCAAAGTCAGGGAAGAATCATTTCTTTTCATCAGGAAAGGGACTTACTACATAAGGCCTCTGCAGACATCCCTAGGAATAGGGATAAAAATTATTGGTGGATATGCTTGAACATGATTAGGTGAAAGGAAATAACACCCCGACTCAGTAAGCAACTTCTCCCCATTTGTGCCACCATACCTGGCTTGGGATGGAGTGTGTTTGGAGGCAAACACTTTGTTTTTTCTTCTGTCTTGACAGAGCTTTGCTCCTCCAGGCTGGCCTCAAACAGATGGTGAGCCCCCAGATTCAGTCTCTCAAATGCTAGGTGTGATTATAGGAGTGAGCTACTACACCCATCTTAAACAGAAATCTGTAGCTTGCTAGCAAGGAACTAGACATATATGAATCTAATTTTGAGCTGGGCTTTGGGCATTGTTCATATTTATATTAAAGCTCTATATGTTTAGAGGAAGTTGGGACACTAGAAAAAAGCAGCAGAAGAAAAAAATTACTCCTAACTCTGTTGCCTTACAGCATCCCTTGCCAATATTTTGTCTTTGGTGTGTGTGTGTTTCCTTTCTATCCTTTCTGCCCTACTTCAGCTATAATTTGATATCATTTAGACCATTTATCCTGGAATGGAATCTGAATACCAGAGTTTTCATGGAGAGTGGAATACACTCAAGTTGGCTGTCTCTTGAATGCTGAGTGCTGGATTCTGAGCTCACTACTAGAGATACCTTGTCCATGAAGCCTGACTTGAGTGGCCCCTGAGACAGGAACTGATTTCAGCTTTGCCATGTAACACTTCACATTCAGATCTCTGCATCACAGTAAACGGCTGTTAAAGATGCAATTCATGGTTTTTAATGTGTTGAGAGTGGTAAAAAACAAAACATGCTGAGTTCACCACTGGATGTGCCATCCAGAGTCTCCTCCCTCCCGGCAGAGTTGACATTGATGAGTGAGGTCATGACCACCATTACCAGCATGGGTTTGTCAGACTGTTCCAGTCCCTATCTGCCTGATATCTCAGGACACAGAAAGCCAAGAATGTAAGCGATCATCTCTGTCCATGATTTTACAGTTTTCATCCATCATTGATTCTTAGGGGAAGAGTTCCTTTCTCTAGTGCCCGGTTGATGCCAAAGCTCTCTGTCTGCATCTATTTGTAAGGTGATCCATGTGGGGGGAAGTGTGGGCCACTGGTGAAAAGTGCCTAAAACAGTCATTGTGGGTCAACAGTGCTGTGTTGAGGGGCATGGCTGGATGGTTGTCAAACATGGGCTTTGTAAAAATACTGCCACCCATTTTATTGACTGGGTTTCTCAGGTGACTAAAACCTCCCCCATGAGTCATTTCCTATCTACCCCCATCCCGAGCTAGCACTGGGGTTTGAACTTTTCCTGACCCTTCTTTCCTTAGGTCTGCCGACTAACCATCTCAGGAGTACAGGCAGGGGCCGGAGCTTGGCCAGCCAGGGCCTCTCTCCCAGTTCCTTTCTCTAGATGAACTTGGATTCTTCCTAACCAGGGCTTGACCTGGGTGCTGTTGGTCCTAACAGCCAATGACACATCTCTGGCCGCATTGGATTCTCACTGGATTTTATAGACATTCTACCACAGACTTTAAAATGCGGCTCTTACTCCAAAGGGCTTGTGTCTTTTCCTACATGTCAAGTCAGATTGAAAACTATTTTATAACCACAATATGTAATCCAAGTAAATAGAGTATTTTCAGATATATACTGTGTTTCATACTTTTATGTAGGGTGTGCTGTGTATGGGTGGTATGTACCCTGGCTGAGGTAGCATTAATCATTACTCTGGGGGAATTTATAGACCTTTTGCACTTTATGCTTTTTTTTGTGAACTCTGATAACCACAGTTAATATTAAAGCCATCAACTGGCATTTTCTGTGAATAAATATGTATATGTATCTATTTCTGAAATTAGTTTTTCTTTCTTTAAACATTTTATTATCTGTGTGTGCATGTATGTGTGATGCGTGTATGAGTGGTGGTCCTCACTGTGGAGACAATCCTTCACCTTTACGTGGGTCCCAGGAGTTGAACTCAGGTTGCCAGGCTTGTATGGCACACACCTTTACCCACTGAGCCATCCTGTTAACCCCTTCATTTGCTTCCCCCGCCCCCATGTCTTTTAGACAGTCTCATGAAGGGCTTGTCTGGTCTTGAACTTATATAGACAGCTGAGGATGACCCTGAACTTCTGATGCTCCTGCCTCTACCTCCCAGTGGGATTACAAGGTGGTGGTTTGATTGAGAATGGCCTTCAAGGCACATATGTCTGAACAATTGGTCCCCGGTTGGTGGAACTGTTTGGGAAAGATTAGGAGATATGGCTTTGTTGGAGGTGTGTCATTGTGGGCAGGCTTAGGGTTCAAAATAAATCATATTCCATCATCCCCAGTGCACTCTCTGCCTCCTGCAGGTGGATCGAGAGCTCTCAGCTGCCACTATGCCTTTGCTCATCACCATAGATTATGACTCTCTGAAACTGTATGACTCTCTGAAATTGATTACTTTCTTTTATGAGTTGCCCTTGGTCATGGTGTTTTATCTCAACAATGAAAAAGTAACTAAGATAGCCACCATGCCTGGATCTTCAAAAAAAATTTCTGAAGTATCTGTAAGGAAAATTTACATTTTTCCCTCCCTCCGTCCCTCCCTCCCTCTATCCCACCCTCTCTTGAGATAGGAACTCATATTGTAGCCAAGGCTGGCCCGGAGCACTCTATAGAGTGCCCAGGCTGATCTCAAACTTAAAGCAATCATTATGCCTCAGGCTCAGGAATGCTTGGGTTAAAGGCAGGAGACACCACCTTGAGCAAGCAGCTCATGAATTGCAGAACACAGTGTATTTGCCTGAGTCCATTGGTGAGAGGTTTGGGCATCTGTGACCACACATGCTTCAAAGAAGTATACAGTTCATTGCTGATTCCTTCTGAGCTGTGAAACCAACACACCAAAATGTTCTAAGCACAGAGTACCAAACAGCAGTGTGCACTGATTAGGAATTCTGTGATTCACTGGTAGTGCATTTCCAGCAGCCACTGGAAGCAGATCTTGTGACTTTCACAACAATGACTTTTGTTGCAGCACCCACGATTTCCTGTGACAGTTGTTTCAATGTAAGGATTCATTGGCCATCAAGGTTAAATAAGGTGAGCACCAGAGAGGATGGGTCAGCATTACCAAAAGTCCTCGCAGTGGGCTCTTTGTACTTTTCTATGGTTAAGAGGAAGCGACACTGGTGGCCTGGAGCCTTGTGATGCCTGATGAAGCTGAGTCTTCTCTCTGCCTGTGATTCTCGGGGGGGGGGGGGATGATGTCCCTAGGAGTCACTCACCTTGATAAAGAACCACTTCTGTGGCAAGACTAAGCAAGAATCTGAATCCTTTCTGGTTCTGAGAGTGGTCTCTTGATCCTGAAAATAGGACTTCCAATATCTTTTGAGTCTAGGTAGTGGGGAGAGAGGCTGGGTTGTGGGGAGAGAGGCTGGGTAGTAAGGACAGAGCCTGGGTAGTGGGGACACTGTCTAAAGAAGAGGCTGGTTGGGGGGCGACAGAAGTTGGGGGTTGTTTTGTGTTCAGGAAACAGTTCAGAGTGTACCCTGGGGTATCCGTGCAGTCTGCTTGTGTGAGTCTGGCTGAAGGAGATAGAAATTCTACAGGTTTCTCTGCCCTCTGTTTCAAAAGACCAGAGTTGGAGTTCAACTCTTTTCCTTAAGACAGACATGTTAAGTGGTGCTAGGGGTGTAAGCCAGGGCCTTTGTATGTGCTAGGGGTGTACCCCAGGGCCTTGTATGCTAGGGGTATAACCCAGGACCTTGTATGTGCTGGGGATACAACCCAGGGCCTTGTATGTACTAGGCAAGCACTCTGTCACAGAGCTAAACTCCTAGCCCCTGATTCTTTTTTTAGGGACATTTCATGACTTTCCATCACAGTTGGGGGTGGTGTTGCATGCCTGTAATCCTACTACCTGGGAAACATAGGCCAAAGGATTGCTGCAAATTCTAGGCTAGCCAGGGCTACATGGTGAGATCTTTTCTGGAAGGGGGAAAAAAATCAAGAGAAGAAAAAGAAAAGGATTAAAACCCAAAGATATGCATTGCATTAAGGTGCCAGTATGGGGGACTGGCGAGAGGGCTCAATGGGAAAGTAGCTGCTGTCAAGCTTCAATCCCCAGGATCCACGTGGTAAAAAAGACTCCTGCATATTGTCCTGACCTCAGGCTCACACACCACATCACCACCATCACCACCACCTCCACCACCACCACCACCACCACCTCCCCCCAAACAAATAACATGTAATTTAAAAAAAGACTAGTAGGAGACCAAGCATTCCAAACAAAACGAGACCCATATGCCAGAGGGGCCCCTTGCTGCCAACTCCATTGCGGCACTATTCACAATTGTCAAGATATGGAATTGACCGTTGTGTCCTCTGATGGGTGAATGAATGAAGACTATGTGGTACATAAGTGTAGGAGAATATTTTTCAGCCATATAAATAGTGAAATACACTTGTGTCAGTTGATGAAACTGGAGGACATCATATTAAGTGAAAAAAGCCAGGTACATAAAGAAAGATAAATACTGTATGTTCCTATATATAGAAGAAAACAAACCAACAAACAAAAAAACAAAAAAACTGGCCAGCCGGAGACACACACCTTTAATCCCTTATGCCCTCAAGTGATCCTCCTGTATCAACTTCTAGAGTAGCTGGGGCTGCCTGTATCAGGCCTCTGCCACTCTTCAGGGTCCTGGCAGCTCCATCCTGCTTTGTCTCAAGTGACACTTTTGTCTCTGACCATCTTTGGCCAACGATACCCAGTGTACATGTGAAAGTGACAGAAGATAGGACCACGAACACAAAATAAAATTTTAAATAAAAGAGAAAGGAAGAAAGGAATAAAAGGAAAGAAAGAAAAGGAAGAAAAAAAGCAAGATGATATTGATGATATTTGGTAGCTATTCTGTGAACAAAGCAAATCAGCATAACCACTGACCAGAAGGTGAAGAGAAACTAATGGAGTAGTCGCGCCACCTTGTGACAATATGTGGCAATGCCACCAGTGGTGCCTGCTTGTCTCAAAGTCAACTCTGACAAAATTTGCAAGCTATTTCAGGGTACATGTGTGTTGCCTCAGATGTTTTCAGCTGTTTCTCTGCTTTCATTCCCTCTTATTCCCCCCAAACTCATTTTTCATGGCCTAAGGTGTTGGATCTTTCTAGAATTTTAAAAAATAAAGCAAATGCACTCTTGCATGTACAACCAACTTAATATAGATGTGGTCTGTTTTTATGGTTTGTTTTTGTCTGTATGTCATCCATCCATGAATCTATCTACCTATCTGACATGGTCTTAGGTAGGTCAACCTGGCCTTAAACTCAGTATTACTTCAGGTAAATTCCAGAATGACCTGGAATTCCTGATCCTCCTGCCCCCACTTTCCAAGGCGGGGTTTATGTGTATGCAACCCCTGGTTTAGTGAGTGGGCTATTTGTTGTTGTTTATTTGTTTATAAGATTTATTTATTTTAAGTGTGTGAGAATTTTGCCTGAACATGTGCTCAGTGCCTTTGGGGCCTGGAAGAGGGTGTCAGAGCCCCAGAAACTGGAGTTATGGTGGGTTGTGAGCTCCCATGTGTATGTGTGGGGAGGGTCTCACACCAGAGAGAGTCACTGGTCAATACAGGAAAACAAAACTGACAGAAACAGGTAAAAAGGACACACACACACACACACACACACACACACACACACACACCAACCAGGGGTAGCCTCTACACCAGGAGTGGTCTCTACACATTCATCCCTGAACAGGCAGAGGGATCCAGTGATGTCTCACAGGGATCTGGGCACCAGATCAGCAGTCATGTCTGACCTCTCCTCTCTGTCCAAATAGAAGGTGCCTTAACCAGACTCACCTCTGGAGGTGACAGACCAGGAGACTTTCCAATTTGTTTCCTTTTGGGGTGGAGGAGTCAATTCCTCCATAAGGCATTAACTGATCAAAGGGGGTCTTGGAGACCTTGAGATCAGGTTGTGCCCCCTGAAGCTCCTTGAACATTGCACCCTTCCCAGATCTAAGGGGTTCTGAGATCCCTGGTGTCTTGTGGTCTTGCTCTGGGGATCTCTGTGGGATCTCCAGGAATGCTGTGGGGTATTCACCAGAGAAGATTGTTTGGGCATGGGCCAATAGAAAGTCTTTACTGGGCTGCTGTCGACTACACTGGGTGCTAGGGATCCCAGTGCAGGACCGAGCCTTTCTTGGGGTGAGATTTGAAGCACAAAAACCATGTTCTGGGTTGAGATACTGCAGTCAACAAGAACAGTTAGCCAGAAGTGGAGTGACAGAAACCAAAATGCAAGGTGAGTACATTTCGAGATTTTTCCCAGAACTATGGACTTTGATGGATTCTTTGTTTTCATTTTTGGCAGGTGGTGCTGTCTATGGGCTGAGCTTTACAGTCTGAATAGCACTTCCGTCATGGAGTCAGTTATCCTAAGGTCTGGGGCCCTGTCCCAATATGACTGACTGTGGCCTTGAGCACAACATACTGCCAGCCAGTATATCCTCACTGTGCCTGGACCCCCAGACACTGCTTTTTTTTTCTATTTTTTTCTTTTTTTTTTAAATCATTTTTTATTTGAATTAGAGGCAAGATTGTTTTACATGACAACCCTAGTTCCCTTCTCCCTCCTGTCCTCCCCTAACACCCCCCCCACTAAAACCCTACCTATCACATATCCTTTTTCCCATTCTTTCCCTGACTCAACCCAGACACTGCTTCTTTAAGGCAGGAAGCAAGTGAGCTTGTGAAAAGGGGGGATCTTGGGATGAGGTGGTGCTCCAG